ATGCATTGGTGGTGGACAAACAAGGCCAGGTGAGAATAACATTGGGTCATCCAAAGGTGATGAAGTACGGAATGGTGGAGGGGGTACATCTGCTCTACTAGATGGTCTGGAAGAACCTAAGTATGTGAAAATTACATGCAGTTACATACACCTGTCCATCTACCTTAAACCACACATAGCTACATTGATAAGAAACACATAAACCTAAGACTGTCTAATCAATATACATATATAGCATTCATCTTACGTCGGACTTGTGGTCGCCTGAGAGGTGGTCCTCTTCCCATTTGAGGAGGAGGGGCATGGTCTCTTCGTGAAGGTAGCATATCTGGATGTGGAGGTGGAGGTGGAGGACCAAATTCCCTTGGTGGAAAGGGACCAGCTTCGCGTGGAAGTCCCATGTGGCTTGGTGGTGGTAGCCTCATATCACCAGGTTGTGGTGGTCCATAATCTCTTATGGGAGGAGAGAGCCTTTTACTATCACGCAGAAATTCTCTTGGAAGTGGTGAATCCATTGGCATGGGAGGGCCTATGTGAGATGCAAGATCTTTTGGTGGGGGGCCCATCAGCCGTGGTGGCATGGTCATGTCAAATGGTGGTGGTGCCATGTCTCCTATGTCCCTTGGACCTCTCCTATCTAGAGGTGGTCCAATATCAGATGAAGTAACATTGCCATGTGGCAATAAAGGTCCAATCCCTCTAGGGTGTACCATTCTACCTCTTGGGGGAGGAAGACCCCCATCTCGATCTAAATAAGGTGGTGAAGGATGCATATCATTATCTCGAGGTGAGGCTGCAAAATAAAATAACAGAAATCACATGAGTGATGAAGCAATGGACATATATGAAGTGTTCTGTCATTTCATGAATGATAGAAATGATTGCTTGTTGTGCTTTACACAGGAGCCAATAAAAATATTTTAATTCCAATCACTTACCTCTCCTTGGAGGACCTGGTCTTTCACTGAAAATGAAATGAAACAAAATAGCAATCAATTATAAAGCGAACTATAGATATATAACAGACAATCAGTGACCAACAAGTATTTCAAAAATGAAAAGTTGACAATCAGTAATGTGAACAGTTCTGCTCTGTTGATTTTGTCAAGGGAGGAAAACTAAAACTTCCAGCTTTGCTGAAACTAGAAACTTACCTAGTCATTCTGTGTGGTGAGCTGGATCCTAAAGAGATAATCGAATTATTGATGAATTCAGTGAGTTTAACGATAAATTTACAAATTCACATAACCCAATGGATTACCGGTATATGTATTATATGGATTATAACATGTTGCTACAGAAACATCCATCAAGTACAGTCCAGCCCAGTTCAGACATAAATTATCTTCCTGGCTAGCTTTATTATTGCCACCAATAATTTCAACTTATTTGTTGTATTGTTTACACATGTAACTTATACAAGACATATTTAGGCAAATTACTCTGCACAATTCATAGGGGCAGTTTTAATCTAACTTAAAGTGTCTTGAATAGTAAGTTATGCTTGAATGATACTCATACAGTTATCACAAATAGTGGGGATGTTTCATTGAAAGCAGCTCTTTTTCAGGAGATCTTGAAAAAAAGGCTAATATTCAGTCACAGAAACATTGTTGCACAAACCTTGATTGAGGTGATTGTGCTGTAGTGTGAATTCAAATTAGAGATCGGCACATTACGAGTATCAATCAGTTGTGTTGTATATTAATATTGATACATTGTGAATGCCAAACAGTTGTGGTTCTATTTCATCAGATCAGCTTATTGTTAAATCTGACCAGTGTTTGACATATTTGCCAAAAAATGGGAGCCAAAATTGTATTTTTTATGTGGTTTCACTTTTTCAATTAACAGAGATGATCTTATGACATTTTAAATAATAAAGCCATAATTTAGTTACACCTAATTGATTGAATCTCTTAGGCAGAGTATAAATCACACATAGGAAGCGGTTTATCTGTCCCAAGCTCTGAATCAACAGTCAACTCCAAATCCCCAGTTGCAAGGGACATAACCTAAAATCAAACACAACTATTAATTAAGTTAGAGAAGACAAAACTTGCTCTATAATCATGATTTGGATCCAACTGACTAGTATTGGAGGCATATAAGATAAAAGTATAAGAACATTTAAAAGTATTTCAAAATTAGTGACCAATATACAAAATATAGGTGGTGTTATTTCAGATGCACAATGTGAAAACAATGTAATCCACAATATTGAAGTTTATAATACTCACAGAAAATAAATTTAATTGTAGATTAATTGCAATCTGATTTATTCAAAGGTACATTATATCACAAGTTCAATATAAATTTGCTTTGAAATATCAGAAACGAACTACTGGTAATAAAAATTAGGTAATCAACATGGATGATTTTCCAACATTAAATAATCATGTCTATGAATTACCCAGGACCATCTATGTACAAAGTTTGGATGAATTGTGATAATTATGCATATTATGCAAATTACGTAATTAGTATGCTCAAAGTTCAATCCAAAACAAATAGGGTCATTAACTTCAACCCCCATGCAGTAATGTGATGTGCTCTTGAGAAATTTCCTAGATAATATAATGCAAATTAGATTATATTAATATGCACAGATTTTACTCCACAATTACTCAGTTGCGCACCATGTCAAAGAACATCTATGTTCAGGAAGATGTGATAATTAGATACAAGTGGAAAGGTCAAAAACTATTATGCAAATTAGGTAGATTTGAACCCAATATTAATCAGGTCTGTGTACTAACCGAGGGCATATTTATTAAGTTTCATTGAAATGTGATGATTAGTATTTAGCACTTGAAATATTTGTGGAAATGGTAAAAACATACTAATTATTATGCAGTTCTGTTTTTCTGTTCATACACTCTCGCAGTCTGTCTATACAACAGATTGGTCTGCACAATGTCACAGTACATCTATGTACCAAGTTTCAAAGGCGAAAATTGGCCACTTATGCAAATTAGGTAATTAATATACACAGATTTCAAACCGAAACCAATCAAATCTGTGCATAGCTCTAGAGCATATATGTACCATTGAAATGTAATGATTAGTACTTGAGATAACAGCGAAAAAGCAAACTAGCAGTCTGTCGGCTGAAATAGCTCTGCTGTTATCAATGCACATTTCCATTAAAGAACTGACGATATCATCAGAAAATGAACAATATGTATAGTATTAAAGCAATCGAACTGTATGTATTCAATAAAAATTTGAAAATATAACTTTATCAAAAATACTCATCAAAATTAGATAATTGAAAAACAAAACCATCACGAAATGAACAAATCTGAGAGAGTTCTACCTGTAGTACCTATTTAGTATATATCAAAGCCATTAGACTTGCGGTTTTTAATAAGAAGCCGAAAATATCACTTTTTACCAAAAATGACAAAAATATTCATGACAATTAGAGAATTGAAAATATCATCACGAAATGAACAAATCTGAGAGAGGAACACATGTAGTACCTAGATGTGTAATATCAAAGCAATTGGACTTGCGGTTTTTAACAAGAAGTCGAAAATATCACTTTTTACCAAAAATGACAAAAATATTCATCAAAATTAGAGAATAAAGATATCATCACAAAATCTGACAGAGATTCACCTGATGTACCTACAGATATAATATCAAAGCAATCAGACTAGCATTTTTCAAGGAGAAGTCGAAAATATCATTTTTTACCAAAAATATTCATCAAAATTAGAGAAATGAGGATATCATCACGAAAGAAACAAATCTGAGAGAGGCCCAGCCAAGGTACCTATATACCATACCAGCTATACAGTTTGTGGTTTTTAAGAAGAAGTGGAAAATGTAAAGTTGACGACGGCGACGGCTGACGGATTTCGACAGACAATCTGTAATACTATAAGCTCCGCTCGACTTCGTTGTCAGCTGAGCTAAAAACTGGCTAATTTTTCAGCAAATTAGGTGATCATGGAGTTTCACCCATGTATGTTTTCACATTCATGTATGCTTGATATCATAAAGGAATGGCAATATTATGAACTCTGGTAACTATAGACCTATTGATATTGCTATTGCTACTACAATATCTAAGCTTATTATTGTATTGGATTTGTGATATAACAAATCATATATTAGCATTCAGAAAGGAAATATTGAATATAATTAACAAGGACTATGATTATCAACTAACATTTTCTATACATGATTATATATTTATTGGTTTTAACAAAGAACAGTCAACCAAACTGCATATATTTGCTTAAGGAAACAAAACAAAGGGTGTTTTTCATGGTTAGGCCACACCGACTTAATTTTATGGATGACATCCGCGCGCGCATTAGTTTTCGCCTGTTCTCAAAAACAAAAATCTCTGACGACAAGTCTCCACGATCGGTTTTCTGTCCGGCACTTGTCGACTCATATTGTTGCAAAGCGCCGACTTGTCGTAAAATTTGTTTTGGACTACCTCAAAACCAAACTCCGCACAGTTAGATGCGTGTTGCGTAAAGCGCAAAGATGAGATTGTCTCAAAACATGCAAATTTTGTCATTAAAGGATCCAACATGGCGACCACACCACCAAAATACGTGAGCATAAAAGTTCAGAGGTAAAACGGAGGGATTGTTGTAGACTGGTACGCAATTGACGTTGGCCAGGGAGATGTTTACACAGCTATACGAGAGGTCGGTAGCGACAAGCGAGTTTCGCCCAGACAACTTTAAGAATATATTGTCCAGAGTGGCTGTCCCGCATTTCTTCTGCATTGATGAGAGAAATGGGAGAGGAGTGAAGGTGTATGGTGGCCTAAAAGTCGGTCAGGCGACAAATCAGTTTGGTTGCTTTGTCGGCATTCAAGTCGACAAAACTGCAACGAAAGCAGCAGAAGCTCCTCGGCCGAAGACCCCTTTCGGGGTGAAGAAAAGTTTCTTATTATTTTTTTTTTCATTTTCTGATTCGGATAATTTGCTTGCACACACAGTCAGTAATATTTTGATCATATGACGCATTTTCATCAAGATACATGTACATAAGTCTCTGCATCCAAATTTTTGTTGACTCTCTGTTGGTGTTTTTTTTTTTTAATATCGAGCCTCTTATAATTTCTTACATAGTTGAAGTAGTACTAGAGCAATTGTGTCTACACTTAGTCTATCTGAAGTGTCACTTTAAAAGCTGTAGTTTGAATGTCAAAGTAGTTAATTTCCAGGTTGCTGTTGACAAACTTATTGTTCATTTTTAATTATTTTTTTTTTCAATACAACACAGTAAGTTTTTTTTTTATTATTGAGTTGATGTGTATGCCTTTGGCAAAGCTAACATTTGCCTTATCAAAATCAAAGGTGATGATACCTGTGACAGTTAAACAGTACGAAATGTGTACATCAACATGTGCCTCCTACATTTTGATACACTGTGGTTTAATTCTGTGGTTAAATTTTTCTGGCAGGATTTTTTTTTTTCGCCCTCTCACATTAGTTCTGGGGTCTTCAGAGGAAGTCCTCCATAAAATTAAATCAGTGTGGCCTAAGTAAGTTTTATAGACCTTTTATAACAGACTTGGTTTAACAAATCCAGACCGAATCACGTTTTGCATAATAATTCTAGTGGCTGTAAGGTAACTATGACTTAACATAGTAAAATTGAAGTGAATGTTTGGGAGATACTCACGCAATGCTGGCGATGGTTTGACAACTGGTGATGCTGCTGAGACAGTTTTAATTCGTTCTTCCAATTCAGTAACTCTGCAATGAGCAGAAAATGAGCAGATTGGCA